CTCCTGTTGGGGACTTTGTTTTTTTCGTTCTGTGGTGCGTGTTTCGTTTCTGAGTTTTGGATTTAGGCCACCTTGAAGGAGTGGTTCTCCATTGTGTTGTAAGGGCTAGTGAGTCCTTCGGTTGTACTCTTTTATTTTATGAGATATTATTATCGTTTGGAAAAAAAAAAATAAATAAATAAACAATTTTTATTTTGTCTTTACAAAATCCATGGTTTTGGAGAAAAAAAGCACACTCGTAAAAGCTGCACCAGCCCATTGTCAATGGCTGCTCCCCTCCTCCTCCGAAGTCTGCCTCTCCTCCACCGCCGACTCATCCAACCCTACCTCCGTCTTTGGCATATAAATGGCTCGATAATATCTCTTCGAACCTTCTGCAACCCGGCGGTCTCCACCACCGATTCAACTGGCTCCGACGGCAATAAAAGACCATCACTTACCCAGCTATTTCTCACCAAATCCGTGAAAAACCCGCTCCATTACCCAGGATGCGACGACCCGAATTTTCAGAAATGGAAGGTCAAGGAAGCTGAGATACTCGGGGATATTGAGCCCACTATTTGCCTCGTCAAAGAAATTCTCCACTCTAATAGGTTTTTCCTGCTTCTCACAACTTTTTTTATCCCGACATTTTTCTCTTTTGTCAGTTTAATTTGTTATGTAATGTCACTTTTTTCTTGATTCTTCTGTTGGCAATGGTTTAATCGATTATCTAGACATGGGAGTTTAACATTCAGTTTGATACATTTTTTTGTTGGAACTTCATATCAAGCTATGCTTATATAGTTAGCTGCTGTTTAATATTCAGTGTGTTCTGTTTTTCTTTTGTTCGGGTAAATTCAATAGCAGGTTTTGTTATATAGTCACAAGCGTGGCGCCCGAGCTCTAATCCATAGTTTATCGATATAATGAGAGCAAAATCAGGGGCGCCTTGTTGTAAAAAAAAGTTAATTGGAATAGGGAGATTGATAATAAGTTGGTGATTGTGCCTTTCTCGTATGTATTGAACTTGAAAAAAAAAATTCCTTGGAAGTTTTCTCTTTGTTATGTATCAATGATGTAATCAGGATGCTATCTCGTCTATAAAATTTGAATTCGGATTAACACCACAAGAAGATTCTTCAAGTTGTGGTTCTTTGAACCAGTAAACTTGTTGAATGGACAGCTACATTACATCAGTCTATTAATCTTTTGAGTCTATGTTATACTTTTTTCTGATTTATATGGTTCTACTTGCTCCTACTGCTGCGGTCTTAGCTATAATCTTGTAATTGTTTCGTAATTTGTGTTCAAACTTGCTCTTGAGGTTCAAAGTTGTAGTCAATTAAGGTGATATATAATATCCTGTGTATATATTTGGAGTAAAGTAGAAGCAGTTATGAGTTATAAGATGTACAACACTTTCCGATGTTTATTTTCATGGTTTAGTTCGAACTACGAATAGTTTTCCGAAAAAGCATTGTCCATTCGGTTGTATTAGCTTCAGACTATCTATTAGGGAAGTGAGTGCCCTCCTTTTTATTTAGTGGAATGTTGCACTTATTGTTGAGTTTTTAATTATAATCCTTATTGAGGGAAATTCTTATGCAAGGAGCACAATTCTCATGGTTGCAAAAAATGCCGTAGTTCTAAAATTATTTGATTTTGGCTTTTCTGTGAGACTGGATTATTTTTGTTTCATAGCTCATGCTCACTCCATTTCATTTTGACATGCTTATTGTTCCTATAAGAGTTGATAAGTTAAATTATTTACTTGCTGTGGAATGGCAATCTCAAAGGTGCAAAGGTATCTTTGATTATGAGGATCATAACAGGTTCCTGTGGAAAGAGCACTTTAGACATTGCAAGAGAAAATTGACAATTAGGTGCATCTATTGTGGCCTTATGGTATAATGCAAATATTTGTGGAAAGTCCATGAGAATAGCCCATGTATAGGTGATGAACTAAGACGGCTGCCAAACACCTCATGAAGTTTAGAGTGACTTGCGAGGTTACAAGTTGTAATGTCCCACATCGGCTCTCAAGGAAGACTTAGAAGCGGTCATGAATGTATAGTAGAACACACATAGATAACTTAGTCAAACAGTAAGAATTTGTTGAATATGAATTATAACTAGTCTTAACCCAGATCTTAACAAATGAATCATAAAGAAATTTCTCGATGATTGAACATAAATTATAAAATAATTCTTAATCCAGATCCATGTGATATTGCAAAGTATTTTCTCCCGAAGCTTCTTTCTCGCCTTATCATGATTGTGCTAGGTGTTTTTCTGTAACATTTTGTTGCCCGTCCATTAACTTCCTATAAAAGACCGATAGCATGAGTCAGCTAATATATTGTAGATGAAAATAAGTAAAAGTTACTTGACAAGAACAGAAAGACTAAAGTTTATTGTAAATCTAAATGAAGAATTATCCGAAGTATCAAGAGAAACTAAAAATGTCCATTGCATATGGAGCTGGAAGAGTCATTGTTGACAATTCTCCTGACATAGTGCTATAATGGACTAGATCAAAATGGCTCAATTAAATTCTAGTGCTTCTTCTATTAGTGAAGTTTCTAGAAAAAAATATATCAAACGATGCAACGCACCTTGGGTCGCTATGGAAACAGCCTCCTTGTATAATTACAAGGGTAAGGTCTGCGTACAACTGACCCCCAGACCCCAACCTGTTGGGAATATACTGGGTATGTTGACCTTGACCTTATCAAGAGAAACTAAAAAGAACCAAGGATTTCAGTTGGCGTTGGTTCTGCTGATTGCAGGTTTGTGGAGATATATGGCTTTGCTGTACAGTCTTATCTTTATCCGTATAACTATCTTGTAAAAATCTAATCCTTTTACTTACCAAATTTTCACCTCAAAGAAATGTATTTCACGCTCTAACATATTCTTATATTTTTTTCATTGTTCTACAATTTTTTTTAATCTAAATAACATTTGTTTTTTTTTTTATTTTCCTATCATAAAGTTTGAATGGATCTTGAGAGGACTAATATTTTTCTTGTTCCCAGATATATGGATGGAGAACTTCTTAGCCCGGATGATGAGAAAGTTGTTGTAGATAAGCTTCTCACGCATCATCCTCATTACGAGGATAAGATTGGTTGTGGACTTCATTCGATTATGGTTGGTCAAATTTTATATTAAACTCTAATTTCTTAACTCAGTCTGTTATTTCGTCACCGAATTCTTAGTTATGGTTATATATTCAGACATGTCATTCACACTTAGCTTCAATGTGTATACCTTGACAGTGACTTAGTTTTGTTATAAATTATGCATGTCATTCACACTTAGCTTCATAGTGTATACCTTGACAGTGACTTAGTTTTGTTAGAAATTACCTTCATCCTGGATTAGTTTCAAGAGCCACTTGGGTTTTTTTTTGTAACTGGCTATTATATTTCTTTCAAGTTCTTTGTTTTTTCCTTTTAATTAAACTGTAAGAAACGGGGGAAAAACGAGTGCGGTCCCACGCACGTGAAGCGCACTAAGATAAAGCCCAAGTGAAATTCCATCCCAAAACCAATTGGTGGAAAGAGGAGTAGCCCATTAGACTTATAAATTAGGAGTAGCCCATTAGACTTA